GATCTCTATAATAGAAAGACATAAATAAAATTAATCTGTGTGCGCTCTTCTGCCCTTTCTTTTTATTCCAATCTGTTCCGTTTTCATTTGCTTCACACACTACCTGCTCCTTATTTATTATTTTTTCTTTATTAACTGTGTTGTCTTTCCTTTATCCCACTCTCTTTCTGAAGAGTTGCCTGTGCTGTATAGCAGCTGCATCCAGCTTGTGAAATTGGGGGGTCTGGAAATAAAAACTTGTCCTTTATGCTATCTGTATGCAAGGATGTGGCCCTTGCTCGCAAAACGCTGTTACTGATCCTGGCAAGTGCTCTCTATCTTTGCAAAGGTCACCGAACTGATGAAGTCAGACTATGCCGTGCATCCCTGCAATTTGTACATTCTTCCCTGATTCAGAATTTTGAGGCAAGCTGCTACTGGCTTAGCTCAGGTTGAGGGCTAGAATGCAGTTAATGGTTTGCCGGCACAGAGCTGCTGCTGTGCAGTTTGGTACAGCTTGGCCTTCCCAGGGAAAATTGGACTCTGGTAAAAGAAAACTTGATGTTTTTTTTTCTCTACCTAATACCCACAACAGGGAAGAGCAGAGATGTTGCTAATCATTGTGGTTGTGGATGTGCAATGTGAACTCTTATGAAACCTCACACTGGGACAAAGCAGCAACATAAACTATTATCTACCAATTTTTTAATTTGCCATAGAAATTTCATAGTCTACAATGAAGTTTTAATGGGAGAATGAATGCATTATTTATTCATCAAGTGGGTATATTTTGAGGATCAGAACGTGGGAAATTAGAAGGAAAAATTTCCAAAATGTAAGTTTAAACTTAATTTTCTCAGTCTGTCCTAGTTTAGCACTTTCTTGTAGTCCCTGCTGAAAGACTTAGCAGGCAGAGGAACCCCATGATATGTATTATCCTACCCTGTGGCACATCATGCTAAATGTGAGACTGGGTTCAGAAATGAAGCTTGAGGCTTTCCCTACTTGTGTAACTCAGCTAGAAAACACTCCGATGATCGTCATTTCAGGTTCTCTAATCCTATATAGTGGCCAGGTGAGACTTTAAACTGCAAATTTGTCACTAAAAAAAGCAGCCTATTGAATCTCAAGTGACTAGGTTTCATTTTCCAAATTTCGTGCTCTGATACAAATAAAAAAGCAAAACAACTAAAATGACCCTAAAGTCTCTTATTTTTAATGATGTTCCAATAGTTCTTTGTTCCAACAGTTCTGAGGAAAGCTCCTGAGTTGGAAGGGCAGGAGTGAGAACAGACAAGTTGTTCCCATAAATGAGACACTAAATGAAACCTGCTAATATTTAACCTGAAGGGCTACTTTACTTCAAAAACCAATTTCCATGGAAAAAATAAGATAATCACTTCACTTCTGTATCCTTTGCTGTCCTCATCAAAGCCATATTAATTGTTACACTAATTTTAAGCCTGTTTTCAACATAATCATAAATTATCTCTAGAATAAAACTTGAGTCATAAACAGCATCCAATATTTTTTCCTGTTTTCTATTAAGACAATGATTTGCATTTTTTTCTTTCTGTGATTTATGCCTTGAAAGATGCTTTGCTTTCATATGAATCCAGCTGCTGTGGTGAAAATGTTACTGTATTCTGATCCTCATGGTTTACAAAAGCTGAAGCAAAATGCTACAAATGCAGCTTAGTGTATTTTTAACATGATCAAGGATCTGCTCTCGCTGTTACAGCATCACACCGAAAGCTGATCTCCCCAAAAATTAGAAACAGCAGTACATGCTAAAAAAAAAGGTTAAAAAAGGAATAATTCAGTGTCAGCAATTACCACTTTATTTTAAAATTCATAATGAAATCAAGAATGAAGCTTTTCACTTTTCAACTCAGAACTACGTAGCTTTAATTCTACTGAGCTATAATTCTACAAAACCTAATAGAAAAATTATTTCCTTGTCATCAGGACAGATTATTGAAGAGGAATATCCTTGATGTAATTTAATTGTTTCAGTTATCTAATATATTGTGAAGGAATGATATTGCATTGTCTTGATCTTAAGACAGATGCTTGTTTAAAAATAAAATTGAAAAGAATATGATACATGATTTTATATGAGAGAATGCTTTTGTAACTGCTGGTGGGAAAAATTAAATAGTCATCTATGAAAGAAACCAGCTTCATTTATCAATAGCAGTATGGCAGGGGAACGGCGGGAGCACGCGAGGACACTTACCCAGCATGTGCTTTCAGCCTCCATCCACCCTGGAGCTGGACCTTTCTGCTTTGGAACTGGTAGCTTTGTGTTTGATGGCCTTAAGCAATTCTTTTCTGCCATGAATTCTGTTTATTGTTTATGGACTCTGTTTATTGTTTATGGACTCATGTAATTCCGTGGCAACAAATTCCACATATCTGAATTGGGCAGTGAATGAAAGTACCTCTGTGCAGTTGTTTTGAACCCAATCCATTAGTTTTGATACTCTCATTAGTTTGTACTGTTACAGAATCACAGAATCATCTAGGTTGGCATAGAACTTCAGAGATCATCTAGTCCAACCGCTAAACTAACACTGACCCTCTTAGTGACAGGGACTATTTCAGTCCCCATTCTGCTGCTGATTTTTATAACTGTTTCACATATTCCTTTCCCTCCTCAAGATTTTTTTTTTTTTTCCACACTGAAAAGGCCTCATCTTTGCTTTCCCCTTGAATTTCATTGTAATATCAATAATATTTTTCCTCGTACAGAGGGGTTGCTAAGCTTCTGGATTTCTTTCTTCCCTTGTACCATTGTCCATATGAGCTGATCTATTTCTGACAATCAGTGCCCAGAATCTGGATAATGTTTTATATGTCCTAAAGTAGAAAATGGAGGTATCAGAAATGATAGATGAGCGGTTTTCTTTTTTTTACCACTTGTTTGTGCAAGTTGTGCAGGTCAGACAGGGTCTAGAGCTATTTGCTGCATTTTAGACCACAAGGTATTTGCTAGGCTTTGGGGTTATGGTTTTGGGTTTATGTTTTTTTTTTTTTTTTCCCCAATTATTGATACTATGCAGTACAGAGATCTATTAAAACTCCATGATCATCTTGGGCATAGTGCTATGTTGCCACTCATAATTGTTTAGATTGGGCTTTTTGGAGTTTTTTTTCTTCTTACAACAGGTAGCTCTTTCTATATTCCTCTACATTGAGTTTCTACTGCCATTTTAATCACTGGTGAAGCTGTGAAAGGTATTTTTGCAAATCCTTCTAGTTGGCTTTTACTGCTACTATCCCGAGTATACTACTAACGGCAAATTTTTCATTGCTTCCCCCCCCCCCCCCCC